GTCCCCCCACTGCCAAACCACAGCTTTCTCGAGAGCTTAGAGGTGAAGTGGAATTATCTCCTATCCACAAAACTGGGGGATTTACAGGCTGACTTTCCTGAACAGAACGCTGAATTTTCTGTACTCCTTAGACGGACACCGTGAATCTAAACCATAAATTGCTACCCAGTGTCTCATAAAATGTACATTCAAAGGGAAATCTTTTTTTTTTTTTTACATGTTTTTTTACTTGCAGTTTTTTTCATCATTTCGTTTTACTCAGATTTCACTGCAATGCACAAAATACTGAGAAACAAATAGACTTAAACTGACTGTGGTGCTTACGTATACTGTAGTGCAGTATAATGGCCAACACAAAAAGCGATGGCCGCATTGTAAGAGCAGGCACGCGGATAGGAGGTCGAGGGTCCCTGCATGTTTATTTACAAGGCATTTTATTATCAAAGTACTTACAACGGAGTCTCCATTCAGGATTCCAATATTCAGGTCTTTAGTTTAATTACCAGAGACAGCCGCCATGTATTAGAATGTTCTAGACAGAACGCAGAGTCAGTATATTAGGAATCCTGCATAATGTTATGTTTTATTAAGGTGGATTGAGACTGTTAGTCTGTATAAAAAGGGATTCGCTACCTCGTTTTCCTTCTCTGCTAAAACTTGTTTGACTTTATTTATACAGTTTGTGTTTTAACTGGTTGTACAGCACAACATAATATGCTGGCGCTTTATAAATTAAAAACAAAAAAGATTGATAATGGAAAGCCACAGAATGGATGGATCTACAGAATCCGCAGACTCCAAAATGAATCACAAAATGTTAAACTCTAAATACTAATATTAGAAATATAGAAACAGAATGTGACGGCAAATAAGAACCATTCAGACTATCTAGTCTGCCCAATTTTCTAAATACTTTCATTAGTCTCTGGCCTGGTAATATGGAGTAATATGGGGTAATATAGAGTAATAGGAGGTGATATGGAGTAATATTGGGTAATATAGAGTAATAGGAGGTTATATGGAGTAATTTTGGGTAATATAGAGTAATAGGAGGTTATATGGAGTAATATTGGGTAATATAGAGTAATAGGAGGTTATATGGAGTAATATTGGGTAATATAGAGTAATAGGAGGTTATATGGAGTAATATTGGGTAATATAGAGTAATAGGAGGTTATATGGAGTAATATTGGGTAATATAGAGTAATAGGAGGTTATATGGAGTATTATTGGGTAATATAGAGTAATAGGAGGTTATATGGAGTATTATTGGGTAATATAGAGTAATAGGAGGTTATATGGAGTAATATTGGGTAATATAGAGTAATAGGAGGTTATATGGAGTATTATTGGGTAATATAGAGTGATATGAGGTTATATGGAGTAATATGGGGTAATATAGAGTAATAGGAGGTTATATGTTGTATTATTGGGTAATATAGAGTGATATGAGGTTATATGGAGTAATATGGGGTAATATAGAGTAATAGGAGGTTATATGGAGTAATATGGGGTAATATAGAGTAATAGGAGGTTATATGGAGTAATATGGGGTAATATAGAGTAATAGGAGGTTATATGGAGTAATATGGGGTAATATAGAGTAATAAGAGGTTATGGAGTAATATTGGGAAATTTAGAGTAATATGGGTTATATGGAGTAATATTGGGTAATACAGAGGAATATGAGGTTATATGGAGTGATATTGGGCAATGTAGAGTAATATGAGGTTATATGGAGTAATATTGGGTAATACAGAGTAATATGAGGTTATATGGAGTAATATTGGGTAATACAGAGTAATATGAGGTTATATGGAGTACTATTGCACAATATGGGGTTTGATTTCCCAGTTCAGCCGCCCCTGGCTGGGTTCTGTTGTGTGTCTGGCATCATATGGTGTCACTATATCAAGCTGTGCCAATACATACACGTACACATTACACACGCCTTTACTTGAGCCCGCAGACCACGACATCATCAAATACAAATACATGACAACAGACAAAGGAATGCTTTATCAAAGTCACAAACAGCACTGGCACCTTCCAACAAGCCTGGGGATCCAGAAAGAGTCCCTAGTCTGGGTCCCATGTCCTAATACACTGCTAGTAATACAAGGCCTGCCTCTATATTAAATGTAGGATCTGAATCGACATATAAATGGTTTGCAACTGTGTTACAGATTTACAAAATCAACAAACTGCTGTTTTTAATGAAATCAGTGGTTTTGACACTTACATCCTGTATTTACTATTTCAGGTTATTCTGTTATAAAGAAGTAGCAAGCATTTACTAAAATTATTATTCTCAAAGCACCAACATGTGCAGTAGTACTGTACAAAGGAAGATGAAAAATCCAATAATTGTGATAATAAATAGGTTTGATTTACAGGAAAGGGCGACGACCGCTCACTCACACAAACTTTACAGACAAATTGAGGTGGAGTATAATTATATAAATGGTGACACTGATATACAGCTGGATGGTATACACATATAATTCTGGATTACTGTGCCCCAGATGTAATATGTATTATTATTTATAAAGCGCCAACAAACTCAGCTGCGTTGTACAATAAATATTATCTGACAAATGACAGTCCTTTCAGTGGACATGCTATGTACCCTAGGGCACACGAATGGACTTCACTGTTTGCACAGCCGACCCGAATGCTGATGTTTAATTATGAAAACAAATGGATAAATATAATAGTTGGATTTACTTAAAGCTTCATGCAGCAGGGGTTCAGGGGATATGCACAGCGCCTCCACTAAAAACAAGGAGGATTAGGATTGGCTGAAAAAACAGCCGGAAGTTTGTGGCAACCATATTAAATGTGATGTTTAGAAACGTAATTGCAACTTATTGTTTCACGTTGTGAAGAGTACGGTGCGGGGTAGGGAATGGTTTCTCCAACAAAGCCAATCTGTGACGCACTCCAAGAGCCGGTATCATGTGTGATCACGAAATTCTATCTCTGGGTTCTAGGAATTTCAGTACTTTCCTTCAGACATCGACGACTCGGCCAATGCTGGCTCTGGTAGAATGGTGATAAATACGTAACCGAGAGATATTAGATCCAGCTATAAAATGTCACCGGGTCCGACACTGCAATGGCTTTATTATCAGCTCCTTATCAATGCTGTACAGGACACACAAATCTTCCCATCAGTAAAAGCGAGCATTAGGTTTGCATCTTTACGTAAAACTGTGATACACATAATGACAATCATCTTACTGTCTCTAATCTAAGTAAATCTAACAAGCATTCGATGAAACGCGGCTTGTCCCATACAACGAGCGCAGCACTGGACACACTGGCAGCTAGGTAAAAGATTCCGGCAGCTTAGCGCATATGAAGAACCTAATTAGCGTGCGATTTATGATCTCTGGAACAAACCCTGGCTGTTACAGATTACATTACGATGATGGCTTTACTCTTTTCCCACAGCATTCGCCTCTGGGAGAGATACAATAGAGATAAAAACACACAAACAACAGGATCCTCCTGTTCTAGGTAGGAGCGCTCATTAAACCCTAATATAAAAGGAAGACTTCTCAGAGGGCACATTACAAGTCGCCTCTCTAATGCATTACACTTTAAGAGATGTGCTGGTGTCCTGCGGGGAACAGAAGGCGATGTATCGGCAGAGCGAAGACAGCCGGGATGGGGAGAGGGTGACTGTGACGGACCGCTGGCACTCCGACTGAATACCTCTGCCAATCGATGCTCCTAGCACTTGCCGAGGACTCCGAGCACTCCAACCGACACCATCAGCACTGCGGACCCCACTTCCTGCGATGCAGCTGCGCCAGGGTCTCGCCGTCTCTTACCCACCCTGTATCCACGACCAGGATCCAGCTCCCAGTGGTTGAACCTCTCCTAAATCCAGAGAGCGTAGCAGGAACAAATCAAGCTCTTACAAGAGCTTATTCTGGGGAGTAAGTGATTATAGCAATCCCCAGAGTGTAGGTATCCCTTCCCCCAAGCAAGAAAGGTGCAAGTAGGTCTGGTTTAATGAGGGCTACCTGCCCGGTATTTATGCAAGTGTCCACCAGGTGGACACTCCCCTGGGGGACCTGATGGAACAATGGGACACATATTGGATATTAGCCAATCACAGTGACATCACAATCCCTCCTCTCTATCCTGGAGATAATTGGGAAGTAATCAAATTATCTACCAGGACAGAGGCAAGACTCTATTAACCACATGGTTACAAAAAGACATAAAATTACACAATGTTACAATTACTACATAAAACATATACATGCAACATATCCCCAGATAGCTTAGATCTGAGCGCACATTATTACCAAATGGCGCTCAGATCACATACATACAGTTCAATCGTCATGGAGCCAAAGTCTTTTCCATAGTCTTTCGTTACACGAATAGGCTCCATGGCATAGCTATGTGGGGTAGCAGTACTCACATACTGAAAGTCCCAAACGCCCCGGCAGAAATACACAAATAAACCTTTCTGCAGGGGAAAATACAGCTATCAGCACAGGGGCCATAGTCGGAAAGCAGGAGGCTAGCCAGGCACAAGTGGCGAAGGGCACTTCGTCACAGTGACCTGTTTTGATGTCAGTTTGTGTCCCAGCGTCCTGTCAATGAGACACTAAGTACTGGGGGCACAGAGTGTGTGCCTGGATACCACTAGGGATTTCAGAGATAGGACAATGGTTTTTTAAAATGGTCCTAAAATTTACTTTAACTAGCACTACCTTACCACCTATTGCTTTTGTAAAAAATCTTTAAAAATTACAAAATGCCAAATCCCCGGCCTCTTGTCTTCATCACATTCAGGATGATCACAGAAATAAGAATTTGTGTGTTTTCAAGGCGCTTTCAATTAATAATTGAGTAAAATGACAGCAGCTACCACACAAATAGGGACTCTCTACCCTATAGATTAGTACAAAAAAGATTAGGTGTACACTCAGTATTGGAAATTAATGATAAAAACCACCACTGGTGTGCATATGGAGCGCTTACAAATTTGTTGACTCACCCATATGGGTTAACATATATACATATATATATATATATGTATGTTAACCCATATGGGTGAGTCAACAAATTTGTAAGCGCTCCATATGCACACCAGTGGTGGTTTTTATCATTAATTTCCAATACTGAGTGTACACCTAATCTTTTTTGTACATTCAGGATGAAGCTGAGATATACCAGCCAATCCCTGCATTGACTTTCACTTGATGTTAACTGTGTCACGTGCAAGCATCCATCGCTGACTCTGCTAGGGATTATGGGAATCGGAGCTGTATATACCCTTCCAGGAACCTTGTCACTTCCTCCTGGAACTAACAATATGAATGGCTGTTTTTATACCATGTAACAATTACACATCATTAAAAATCTGAATGATAGCACTAATGTACCTACAGATGTAGTCCACTATAAAAGCAACGTGACAGCCATCAGAAGCAGCGAATTGAAGATTTTATTTAATGATATTGGACAAACGGAGGAGGCTGCACGTAGGGTCCTGAGTTAATTCATAAAGTGGATTTAATGAACAGTTTCAGGATGCCTACAATGCTTGTATTGTATCGGTGATATTCATTAACAATCATGATTAATCAATGGATGCGTTAATTAGAGAAGAGAACACTTTAATCAAACGATACTAAATTTCGACTGTAATTTAGCGTCACTGAAAGGCCGTCTCCCTATAGCCGGTGTCTTTCAAGAGCTATAATCCGTATGTTTCACAAATCACAATACACTACAACGAAAGGACACTTCATCAAACAGATCTGCTAAGCTTTGCACAAGTTCTGTTACAACATAAAATACAACCGCTAATTACAGATATTCAAGCCTTTTATTTACTTGCAAGACATGAATGTCTGATGATCAGAAGCCTTGTGGCTATAATGACTAACTTGTATCTGTCATTTAAAAGGAAACTTGAACGAAACAAAATACTGATCTAGAATGAAACCGTCATTGGCAGCCAAAATAAATCTATGTGTAAAATTACCGTGGATTTAGGTTAGTTTAAATTGCCTCTTTCTCTGTGGGGTGGATCAATCTAGTCTGGGAAAAGGTTCCATTTTGATCTGCAATTAAGTGCTCCAGGGCCCAATTACAGGACGCTACTTGCGGTGCCGCCAATAGATACCTATTGTTAATGATTTTATTTATTAAACTGAGAACTGTGGAAAACTGACCAAAGATAACTACTTGCCTACTTCCCAAAATAACCTTAAGTCTGCAATTCTGTTATCAATCTTCCAAAAATCACCATAGGTCTTCGTTTGGTTATGACTAAAATGCCTAACGCTCCATTCTGAGCATTCCATGCTCTGCAATGTCTTATCGAATTTAAACAAAACAATAAAATATGTTAATGGAGAAATTGTGTAAAATTTCACTCACTTAGCACTCATTATCTAACGTCTAATTTCTAAATGAATTCATGTTTAATCAGCCAATAACCATACGCAGGATCATTTGTACCCAATGGCTTTGTTTTGTCATTTTCCCCATTCCGTGTGCCGTTACTTGGCAGGGGTCTGATTGCAATGAGATAGAGCCACAGCTAGGAAGTCATTGCCATCAGACAGCGATGAGGCAGGGATGGGCCTTGTTATGTCTGTCTTAGATCCGGCATATGGACGGTGGACAACAGCAGTGGATTCAAATTAGAGGCCGGGCGCCACATGAAACTCTGCCTCTTTAACAGTATAACGGGATGCAGAATAGTTATATCTGAGGCCCCGAAGCGTGTAAACAAACCAAACAATAAAACACATTAAATGTTCAGTTAACAAGAATAGAGTTTGCTGGGAATTCAGATTAATGCAGAAGGAATCTCATTACCCTCTGAAAATATGGACAGAAATTTGCAGGAAAGAGATGTTGGCAACAGAGAGATTTATACCCCCCGCTGAAAGGCTCCCACAAACACACTCGCTAAACGGTGAAAAAGGAAAACACTCATTGTGAATAACAAACAGCGAATATGCAAAACGCAACCCGAGCACTGACACAGAATCGCTTATAGAAAGAGAGGGGGGTACGGAATCGCAGGTACCCCCTGAGGAACATAGAGAGAGACCGCGAGAGTGAGAGGAACAGAGAGAGAGACCGCGAGAGTGAGCGGAACAGAGAGAGAGAGCATGAGACCGAGAGGAACAGAGAGAGAGACCGCGAGAGTTAGCGGAACAGAGAGAGAGACCGCGAGAGTGAGCGGAACAGAGAGAGAGACCGCGAGAGTGAGAGCAACAGAGAGAGGGACCGCGAGAGTGAGCGGAACAGAGAGAGAGACCGCGAGAGTGAGCGGAACAGAGAGAGAGAGCATGAGACCGAGAGCAACAGAGAGAGGGACCGCGAGAGTGAGCGGAACAGAGGGAGAGACCGCGAGAGTGAGCGGAACAGAGAGAGAGAGCATGAGACCGAGAGGAACAGAGAGAGACACCACGAGAGGGAGTGTGAGACAGAGATAGCATGAGACAGAGAGGAACAGAGAAAGAGTGTGAGACACAGAGAGCATGAGACAGTAACACAGAGAGAGATAGGGAGAGGGAGCGTGAGAGAGAGAGAGACAGGGAGCGGAACAGAGAGAGAGACAGGGAGAGTGAGACAGAGAAAGAGAGAGCATGAGACAGAGAGGAACAGAGAGAGAGAGAGCATGAGACAGAGAGGAACAGAGAGAGAGAGAACATGAGACAGAGAGGAACAGAGAGAGATAGCATGAGACAGAGAGGAACAGAGAGAGATAGCATGAGACAGAGAGGAACAGAGAGAGAGAGACCACGAGAGGGTGCAGAACAGAGAGAGAGACAGGGAGAGGGAGCATGAGACCGAGAGGAACAGAGAGAGAGACGGAGAGGGAGCGTGAGAGAGAGTGTGAGACAGAGAGGGAGACAGGGAGCGTAAGACAGAGAGAGAATGAGACAGAGAGAGATCGTGAGAGGGAGCGGAACAGAGAGAGATAGCATGAGACAGAGAGGAACTGAGAGAGAGACCGCGAGAGGGAGCAGAACAGAGAGAGAGACCGCGAGAGGGAGCGTGAGACACAGAGAGATAGCATGAGACTGAGAGGAACAGAGAGAGACACCACGAGAGGGAGCGGAACAGAGAGAGAGGCAGGGAGAGGGAGCGTGAGACAGAGAGAGAGTGTGAGACTGAGAGGAACAGAGAGAGACTGCGAGAGGGAGCATGAGACCGAGAGGAACAGAGAGAGACAGGGAGAGTGAGACAGAGAGAGCGTGAGTCCGAGAGGAACAGAGAGAGAGAGTGAGATCAAGAGGAACAAAGAGAGAGACCACAAGAGGGTGCGGAACAGAGAGAGACAAGGAGAGGGAGCGTGAGACCAAGAGAGAGAGAGGAACAGAGAGAGAGACCGCGGGAGGAAGCGTGAGACAGAGAGGAACAGAGAGAGAGACCGTGGGAGGGAGCGTGAGACTGAGAGGAACGGAGAGAGTGACAGGGAGAGGGAGCATGAGACAGAGAGATAGACTGCATTAGATAGAGAGGAACAGAGAGAGAGAGACCGCAAGAGACAGAGAGGAACAGGGAGAGGGAGCGTGAGACAGAGAGGGACAGGGAGAGAAAGCATGAGACAGAGAGGGGCAGCGAGAGGGAGAGAGCGCTTGAAAAAGATAGAACATGAGAATGATAGACAGCAAAAGGGAGAGAGATCATGAGACAGAGAGAACATGCGACGGAGGAACAGCAAGAGGAAAAAAAGAGATGGCACGGGAGAGCAATAGCAAAAGTGATAGAGAGACAGTGAGAGATAAACACAGAGAGAGAGCGCAAGAGAGAGAGAGAACTAGGAGACTTCACATGACAGAGAGAGTGATGGCAAGAGTAAGAACAAGATAGGGGGAAAGATAAAGCAAGAGGGTGACACGTTGAGAGAGGTAGCAAAAATGAGAGAGAGAGAGTGTGAGAAACCAAGTCAAATAGAGTTATAGAGACAGACCGATAATTAGCGAGAGACCGTTAGTGAAGAATAGAGTGAGTCAGACTGCAGAGTAATGGTGTTTTGTGGTTGGTGCCACAGACCAGTTTTCGTGGTAACATTGAGAATCATAGCACTTTGACAGATCTGAGAGATTTTAGTATTGAGTAATAAAACTCCAGCAGGGAACTCGTGGTCCGAGGATTACTGCAGCCAGACACATGGCATGCTGTATAATAAAACCCTGGACCAAGCTGAGCACAGATTAAAATATAAAGATAATAAAATAAAATAGTATTATTGTTCTCCTTTAACCTTTTAGCTGAGACACTAGGGGCAATGTGTATCTATCCACTTTAGAACACAAATCACGCACGTCTGCTGGAATCTGAGAATCCACATACAATGATTCCTCTGCATTAATAGTGTGCGTTTAAATTAGGGAGCAGTTAGCAATTGGGGTCTACAGAATATCTGCTGATAAACTGAATGACAAGCGTTGGCTGGTCCACCTCTAGGACAGCATTATAACCGCTTCAGGCTGTTACCAAAATACACAAAGTTCCTGCAAAGGAGACAGAGTATCCCATCAGTCATCGTATTATAAACTACATACTGAGCTAACCAGACTGGTCATAACTCGGACATATAGGATGAATATAAGAAATTAAAGGGTTACTCCAGACACCATGACCACTTCAGTGATTGCATGTGATCTTGGTGCCCGCAGTCTGTATGTGCAATGTTTTTCTGTAAAGTGATGCACATATGAAGTTTAACCCCTGGAGGTGATTTCATCAGTCAACATGAAACTAGAGTTCTGGGAGGCTAAAGTCAATTCCGTGCATCTTTTATTGCACAGACTGTCATTCATTGGCTGAGTGGTCAAATGACTTCTGCTGAGCTGACCATCACCGGACCACCAGGGTGCATCGGAGCCCTGCAAGGACCCAGGTAAGTGGGCAAACCATTACTGAACTGTTTCTGCCCTATTACCGGGGAACCTGGCAAGGTTACTTCTACCATCATGACCACTACAGCGCGGGCTGTAGAGTTTAGGATACTTGGACTAATCCTTTAAACATGGCGCATGGCGAGCCAATTTGAATTAAGGTGTTGTACACTCCACAAGCCTTGACATTACCTATTGTTAATGATT